ACAAATTTTATACAATTTTATATAATTGTCCAGAGCATAGTGGAGGACATTTAATGAACAAGTAGAGTGATATAAAAATTACGTTTTTGATGCAATAAATATATATATATCAAAAACGAAAATTTAGGAAATAATTCTGTTCAATTTTTTGATAACGATTGTTTGATAATAATCACATGTAACCAAACAAACAAATAATAATTATGATTAGTTAATTTTTTTTTATTTATTTAAAAAAAAAAAATAAAGAAAAAAAATAAAGAAAAAAAATAAAGAAAAAAAAAATAAAGAAAAAAAATAAAGAAAAAAAACAAAGAAAAAAAATAAAGAAAAAAAAAATAACGAAAAAAAATAACGAAAAAAAAAAGAAAAAATTAAATTTTAATTGTTAGGGATCATGAAAATTAAACGTTCCTCCTCGTCTTTCCTTTCTTGCACCCTTTTACATTCCTTAATACGTTGGAGTCTTTCAAAATTGAACATCCTCAAGACAAGATCATTAAGGTACAGACTCGAGATACCGCCACAAAGGAAAGACCGGCTGTAAATTCCAAAGTACCAAGGTCTATAAAAATTTTTGATAATGTAAGTCCTTAGCTCTTGTGCGCCATAAGGTAAAGGGTGTGACTAAACCTCAGGGTTTAGAAAAAAGCCAAAATCAAAACTGTCCTAAAGGGGATTTAGCCCTTTATATAATTTATCCAAATTCTGAAATTCCTAAATCTTACCCAAACCTCCGAAACTATCCTAAACCTCTTGTATCACCTCAGATTAAATTAGTGTAATAGAAAAAAATTTTTTTTTTTAAAAAAAAATTTATCAATCAGTTTTTTTTTTTAAAAAAAAACTTGACTTTCCTTAATAATAAACTTACCTTTCTCCTTCTCACCTCGGAAATAAGTTTAAGAGTTTGTGGAAAGGCAAAAATCAGGTGTGCAGAAATTGGGTGTGCGGACGTATATACGAAGGTAAGTTTTTTATTTTTATTTTTTTTATTCTTAAATAAAAATAAAAAAAAGAATACTTACCCTTATTACCTTTCTCCTTCTCCTTCTCACCTCAGAAATAAGTTTAAAGATTTGTGAGGACACTTGTGAAGGTGAAAATCAGGTTCATAGGCTCATACGAACGTATTATACAAAGGTATGTTTTTTTATTATTTTTTATCTTTTTATTTTTAAATAAAAATAAAAAAATACTTACTTTTTTCTTCCCTTATTACCTTTCTTTAGAATTGAGCTTGTGAGTATACTTGTGAAGGTGGAAATCAGGTTCATGGGCTTCGCGCGGGCGTATATATGAAAGTAAGTTTTTTTTATTTTTTATTTATTTTTATCTTTTATTTTTAAATAAAAATAAAAAAAAGATACTTACCTTTTCTTCCCTTATTACCTTTCTCCTCTTTCTTACCTCGGAAATAAGTTTGAGGGTCTGTGGAGACACATGTGAAGGTAGAAATTGGGTTCATGGGCTTCACACAAGCGTATAATACAAAAGTAAGTTTTTTTTTATTTTATCTTTTATTCTTAAATAAAAATAAAAAAAAGATACTTACCTTTTCTTCCTTTATTACCTTTTTCTCTTTCTCACTTCGAAAATAAGTTTAAGGGTCTGTGAGAACATTTGTGAAAGTGAAAATTGAGTTTGTAAGCTCGCGCGGATGTATTATATAAAGGTAAGTTTCTTATTTTTATTTTTTTTTAGTTTTAATAAAATAAAAAAAGATACTTACCTTTTCTTCCCTTATTACCTTTCTCCTCCTTCTTACCTCGGAAATAAGTTTAAGGGTCTGTGAAGACACTTGTGAAGGTGAAAATCAGGTTCGTAGGCTCGCGCGAACGTATTATATAAAGGTAAGTTTTTTATTTTTATTTTTTTTTATTTTTAATAAATAAAAAAAAGATACTTACCTTTTCTTCTCTTATTACCTTTCTCCTCCTTCTCACCTCAGAAATAAGTTTAAAGGTTTGTGGAACACTTGTGAAGGTGAAAATCGGGTTCGTAGGCTCGCGCAGACGTATTATATAAAGGTAAGTTTCTTATTTTTATTTTTTTTTTTTTTTTAATAAAATAAAAAAAAATACTTACTTTTTTCTTTCCTTATTGTTGTTCTTCTTGTCTTGAAAATATATTCAAGGGTTTATGGAGACACTTGTAAAGGCAGAAATCGGGTTCGTGGATTCGCGTAGATGTATTATACAAAGGTAAGTTTTTTTTATTATTTATTTATTTTTATCTTTTTATTTTTAAATAAAAATAAAAAAATATACTTACTTTGCTTTTTTCTTATTACCTTTCTTCTTTTTTTTTTGAAATTGAACTCGCAAAACACTTGTGAAGGTGAAAATCAGATTTGAGAGTTCACACAAATATAATAGTAAGTTTTTTTTATTTTTTTTATTTTTTTTTAAATAAAAATAAAAAAATATGCTTATTTTTTTCTTTTCTTATTACCTTCTTCTATAATTAAGCTTGTGAGGATTATACTTACATACAAAATTATTTTGGAATCCAAAATTCAAAATATAAATATTTCGAAATTGATTTTAAAATATCATTTCAAAATTTTGATATTTCAAAATTAAAATGGGAGTCGAAATTAAAATAAAAGTTGAAATTAAAATAAAAGTTAAAATTAAAAATGGGAGTTGAAATTAAAAATAAAAGTCAAAATTAAAATGGAAATCGAAATTAAAAATAAAAGTCAAAATTAAAATAAAAATCAAAATTAAAATTAAAATTAAAATTATTAGAAAAAATTTTTGAAATATATGTTTTCAAAAGTTATATAAATTTTTAAAAATTTTTATTAAAAAATCTGATTTTTTTTAAAAAAAATAATATTAATACATGTTACAAGTTTATAATTACGATTCCAAAACAAGGATAAGTACCTATACTATTTCACGAGTTTAAAAATATAATTCCAAGGAAAGGTAAGTTAAGAAGAGGTAGAAAAATAAGTAAATATATTTATTAAAAAAATAATAATAATAAAAAAAAAAAAACCTATATATACCATTTCGCAATCATTTGTGAGCACAAGAGCACAATTCTAAAGAAAGATAAGTTAAGAAGAGGTAAAAAGATAAATTAAGAAGAGATAGAAAGGTAAGTTAAGAGGTAGAAAGGTAAGTGAATTTATTTTATCAAAAAAAATAATAATAATAAAGAAAGAAAAAGTTTACTTACACTATTTTACAATCACCTGTACCATTTCACGAGTCCAAGAGTACAATTCAGAGGAAAGGTAAGTTAAGAAGAGGTAAAAAAGGTAAGTAATTATATTTATTAAAAAAATAATAAAAAAAAAAGAAATAAAAAATCTATCTATGCTATTTTGTGAATTCAAAAGTATAATCCTGAGAAAAGATAAGTTAAGAAGAGGTAGAAAAGTAAGTTAAGGAGAGGTAAAAGAGTAAATTAAGAGATAGAAAGATAAGTGAATTATTTTATTAAAAAAATAATAATAAAGAAAAAAAAAACTTATATCATTTTGCGATTGCCTGCACAATCCTTAAACTTTATTTTTTTTAAAAAAAAAAAACTATAGATCTATAATTTTGAAGTTTCACAACTATTTCATCTCCTGTTGAAATGCTAATTTCAACTGGAGTTACATTAAATTTTGTTCTCTGTAATAATTTTGACCCCTATAAATATTTTTATCTTTTATAATAATTTCAGAATTAATTTTGAATTTTGGAATTTAATTTCGAGGTTATTTTAAATTAACCTAGGTCAGGTTTTGGATTTTTAATTTTGAAGGCATGTATAATGAGAACACTTGTAAAGGTGGAAATTGGATTTTTGATTTTATTTTTTTATTTATAAAAATATATTTACCTTACTTTTCCCTATTACTTTTCTTCATCTTTCTTTAAAATTAAATTTGTGAGATGAAAATTGGATTTGTAAACTTGTGTGAATATAGTAATAGGTTTTTTTTATTTTTTTATTTTTTTTTAAATAAAAATAAATAATATACTTTTCTTATTACCATTTTACAATTGTAATCTTGAAGATAATATTGACTTTAATTATATAGTCTTAAGTTTTATTGAAGATAATTTTTATTTTATATAATAATAACTTTAAATTTATTTTTTATAAAAATACGTTAATAAAAATTGATACATATGCTACATTATTTAAGATAGTATAACCTTTGTAACCATGATAATCTGATAAATATTAAGAATTTTTTTAATTTTTTTAACAAACAAATATACATTAAGAATTTTTTTAACAAATAGTTTAAAAAAATTATCATGTATAAGAAACAAGAATAAATTGAGCAAGAAGAATTAATTAAGCAAGAAGAATAAATAAAACAAATAAACAGAGTAAAATGAACAAAAAAAAATAATTCAAACAAATAAAGGAGATAGATCAAAAGCTATAGTATGGAGAACTTATATTAAATAAGAAAAACAGATTTTAAAAGGTCATTATAATATTACTTGTAATTTTTGCAAAAAATATTGACATAAAGGGTCATCAGAAAAATGTGAAAATCATTTAGTAAACTTATGTTCAAAAGTATTATCAGAAGTTTGAGATTTATTTTTAAAAAAAAAATAGAAGATAATTTAAAAAAACCAAATAAAAAAAGAAAACTTAACAAAAAACAATTACAAATAAAAGTTGGTGATTTTATTGAAAGTACAAATTAACTAATGAAAGAATTAAAGATATTAATCATGTACTAGTTAAAGCTTTTGTAGTATGTGAAATATTATAAAAAATAATTGAGAATCCTTTTTTTATTAAACTTCTTAAAACATTATATTCAGCATATACACCTTCTTCAAAAAAAAATCTTTCTGATAGATTATTAGCTTAAGAAACAACTATTACAAATCAAAAATTATTACAGAAATAAATAGTCAAGACAATTTAACTTTATGTAAGTTATTATATTATTTTATATATATATATATATATATATATATAATAATAATAATAAATATTATCAATAAATATATATTTAACTTGTAATGGTTGAACAAATTTATCAGGTAAATCTATTTGAAATTTTGTTATTCATACTTCAAATTATCATAAATATCTTTGGTCACTTAGAAATTTAACTAGTGAACATTATACAAAAGAACTTTTAGCTAAAGAAATAAAACATATAATTGATTATTTTGGTTCAAAAAAATTTATAGCAATTGTTACTGATATAAAAGCAAATATTCAGGTAGTTTGTACTATAATTACTTCAAAATACAAACATATATTAAATATAAGATATATTACTCATGCAATAAACCTTATTTCCAAAGATATTTGTAAAACACCATTTGCTAATAAAATTTTAAGACATTGTAATACTTTAGTTACATATTTTAAAAGTAGTTATAGAGCTAATAAGTAATTTATAGTTATTTATAATTTTAAAAAATAAATTATTTAAATAATTTAAATTATTTAGGTCAAATACTTAAAGATATTGCAAATGAAAAAGCAGTTAAAGGAGGTGGTTTAAAACATTAGGTTGAAACTCGTTGGCATACTATGTATGATTGTGTTTTTTCAATTTCAAGACATAAAATTCCTTTGGAAATTGTAAATATTATTTAAATTTTAAATTATTATTTATATATTATTTATTTAAATTTTTTAAATTATTTAATATATTTATTTTAAATATTAATATTTATTTTTATTTATCAATATTCTAATTAATATTTATTAAAATAGATGAAACAAGATCATATGAATTTGCTTTCATTACCTGTACTTACTATTTTAAGAAGTCGTGTATTTTTTGATGATGTATATGCATTATCTTTTATATTATATCCAATCAAAAAATCAATTATTAATTTGGAATCAAAATATTGTACTCTTTCTGATTGTTTTATTGAATTGACTCAATTGGGTTCTGCATTAAAAAACCTATCAGATTTAAATCATAAAATATTTAAACATTAATCTATTGCAATTTTTAACAAGCGATTTAATGAATTTAATGATAATATTTATTTATTGTATTTTTTTTTGCATCCTAATTATAATGGGTTGTAATTTATTTTATTTATTTAATATTTAAATATATTTTTTAAATATATATTTATTAATTTATATTTTAATTATAGAACAAATATTTGCACGTGGAATTTTTTGTAAAATATTACTTTTTACAAATAATATTTATGAAAATATGGATAAAACAAAAAAAGAACAAGATATTTTAATGTCTCAATTATATAAATATCAAAAAAGATTAGCTCCATTTGATATTTCTTTTATTAATAATGAACTTCCTCAAGTTTGGTGGATATCAATTGAAGATTTTTTTGTAAAAAATGAAGATCATATTTGTCAACTTACAATGAAACTTTTTGCAATTACTCCTCATGCTGCTGGATATGAAATAATTTGGTTAAGACTTGAATGGTATTATAGAAAAAGAAGAACTAGTCTTTCTTTAGATAAACTTGAAAATATGCAAAAATTAGCTGCATTTTATATTCCTAATATAAAAAAAGAATTACCATATTATGGTAATAGTAAAGTAACAGAAGAATTACAAAAAATAATGTATGATGTACAGTTATTTAATAATGAAAATGATATTAATGAAAATGATAATTATGA